TTCCAGGGCAGCCAAGACAGAAGGCCTATGAGGTAGATGACTCCCACCCTATTTTTGCTTTTGTTTTCATCTCTTTTCCCAGCTGGAAGTAGATAAAATTCGAAAAGAGGTGGGAGCTTCTTAGAAGTTGCATGGTTGTGAGAGGGAGATTTCTTGTAGGGTCAGGGATATGGGAGGCCACTAGGGGACCCGAGGTTTCCAGACTGCCTTGGGAAGTGTGGTCAGGTACATGAGTTCTGGTGGAGGAGAGGAAGAGATGGGCACAACTTCATCTTTGGGGTTCTGGAAGTCAGAGTCTCTGTTTTGAGAGAGAGGGAGAAAAAAACAAAACAACACACCCAAAGGGCTGGCAAGTCCAGACTCTGGCCCTATCCAGTTCTGACTCTGGGGTTTTATATTTGGAGGCAGTTCGGAAGGCCTTCCGCTGATTGGTCATTAATCCGGTGAGTTATCGTCTGCTAAACAGAGGTCACTGGGAGAGAGACATCCAATCTGTCAGGAGAGACCTGCCCAGCCACTCACAGCAGGCTGGGCCCCTGTTCCTCCCTTGCCTGCTTCTCCCTCCCTTCCCCAGCCACCCACCTCCTCCCCAGGCTGGCCAGGATTCGGTCTTGCCCTTCTTGCCCTCGCCAGTCAGCCCACCTTTGTCTCGACGGGCCGCCCGGGCTGGGTCTGTGAGGCCGGGACTGAGTGCCTAGAGGCGGCGGCCCGGGATTCAGATGCGGCCGCCTGTCCCTGACTCGTGACTTGGCCCGCGGCACCGCCATCCGCTCCGTCAGCGCATCCAGGCGGCCTCCGTGGTCCCCGAGAGAGACACTTTGCGAACCCTCGTGGCTGCTCTGTGTTTCCCTGCTTCCCTCCCGCGCCCCTCCACTTCGGGTGGGGGGAGAGCAGAGCTTGTATTTTTCTTCTCCAACCGTGGCAGCCTCTGTCTTCTTTCGATCCCTGCTTCCGCTGAGCCGGGTCTACACCGGCCTCCAGGGCTGCACGAATCTTCTTCCCGCTTCCTCTTTGTTCCCTCCCGCACCGGCGTCTTAGAGAGGTGGGGGTTGGGAATCCAGATACCAAGAGCCATCTTCATGAGCAATTTAATTTTACAACCGCCAGCTTTGAAATCTTTATTAATATGCAAGAAGAGATGGACATTCCGGTGCATGTGTGAACTCCGCAGCGGCCACGAAGTTGGGCAGTGAAGCTGGAAAAGAGTGTGGGGCCCTGGAGCCCAGACAGGACCAGGAAGAAAAAGCTCTCTAATCGCCTCGCCCCCGCTCCCAGGTCCCAGCTTCTCAGTGAGCCGGTGGGTTGGTGGAGCTGGGGGCCAGATCTTTGGTCACCCCAAGGCTGATATCAGAAATCGATTTTAAAGCAGCCAGCCATTTTGTCCTTATTGAGAGGAGAATTTTCGTTTGCTCTTTGGTAGATTTTTTTTTTTTTTTTTTTTTTTGCGGGGGGAGAGGGAAACAGACATGATCCTTCCAAGGCCTGGAAGGTGGACAGCCAGGAATGGCTCTAAGAGGTTTAACACGCTCCTTGTCCCCTGGTACTGGGTGCGGATTAGGAGTGGGGGAGGGGAGTGCTCTATCGACTGGGAGGGGAAAATATGCCCAGAAGGGGGCCATTTTTTTTCTAATTTTTACCTTTATTATTAATTTCTGCCTTTGTTAGATTATCCTAAAGTCTCTGTCTTAATCTTTTCTCAATTTTTCAATCTCTCTCTCTCTCTCTCTCTCTCTCTCTCTCTCACACACACACAGAGTAAGGTTGCCCAAATTTCCCTCCTTGGGTCTAGGAAGAAATTGTTCACTCCTCTCTCTGGTCTGCCCCTAAATCACCATTTCATTGTCAGGAGTGATAAACTCCTCTTCCCCCTCTTTTTCCAGACCCCAGTCTTCCCGCACACCCCTGTGATGTCTCCTACTCCAAGTCCCCTGGCCAAGCTCCTCACTGCCCGGCCTTTGTCTCCTGAAGTTTGAAAGGTCCCAGCCTGCAGCAACAGCTCAGAGGAACGGGGTACCCTCCATGCTGCCTGTTCCCCCATCCACCTCCCACCCTCCCAGCCCCAACCAGGAGTGCTTGCAAAGAAATCTCCAAGAAAGGAAGAAGAAAGAAACCAAACTGGGATCTAATTGCCTTCCAAGCAGTTCAAATGGGCTCTGTTCTGCAGCATTAATAAGAAGCCCCCACTCCTTCTCCTTTCGCATTTGGGGGTGTGTGTCCTCTGAAATTTTTCTCCAGGTTAGCTTTCTGGGTCCCCAGTCCTTTTCACCCCCACCCCACCATGCCCCAGCTCCTTGTGTCCCAGAAGAGACCACAATGAGTTGAGGAGGCTCTGGGAGAGGAGGGGTTCACCTCTGTCTTTTGAAAGCTCCTCCACCCTCCTTCAGCTCAGCTCCAGGCTAGATCCTCCTGCAGCCCAGTCCCACAGGCCCGCAGCTGGCTGGGTGCCCTCTGGGCTTTCTTAATTTCTTGAGGTAATGCTGTGCAGCCCCATAGCGACCGGGTTCTCCTCTTGCTTCAGTTTTGCAATGACTTTCTGTAAATAGTGGTAGCAACAGCTAGGAGAGCTGGAGGGTCTGAGGTACATTTTTGACTTACTTTGGGGGAGTAAGAGAAAAGACCCAAAGGTGCTCGTTCCCTTAAGCCTCCGGAAGCCTCCCTGGGCTGAGTCCCCAACCCACCAGGCCCAAAGCTACATAGGAACCAACATAGTAGGTCCCTAACCAGGGTCTAGAAATCTCAGGACAGGCTCGTGCAACCATGTATGCAGGCAGCTGTAATGGTGTTCTTTGAGGATCCTGGCTTGAGTAGCAACATAGGCTTGGGCTTGGGCATTTTCTTTTCTTGATACTACTTAATCAACAGAAAAATGGCTCCCACCCTCTGTCCTCACCACCCTCCCCTTCCTTCAGTCACCAGCTCTCTAGGCAGGTGGTCATCACAGTGGGAGGTTCTGCGTGTGGTTCCTGTTGCTGGAGAGCAGGGAGGCCATGGGTCCCCCCCCACCCCCTGTTCAGCAAGGCCCCAAGAACCTGGCTGCTCCAGCCCATGAAAACTGACTTAGCGGGACGGAAAGCAGTAGGGGCTGGAGGAGGCCCGGGGAACACTCGCTAGGAGAGCAGGACCCTTTCTCAGCCCAAAGCAGAGCTCGTGAGTGGGCTGTGAGGGAAGCTCTGCCAGACACAGCCACCGTCTCCTGGAGGGAAGACAATAGCTGGAATCATCTCTCACCTTTGTTCTCCCAGTCCCATCTCTTCTGGTGCATCCAGATGGGAGAAGGCAAAAGCCAAGCATTCTAACCAGGAGGTCACAGGGTAGTGGCTGGCTCTGTCTACTCGAAGTTAAGAGAACAAGTTTTCCAAGCTGCCTTTGTAGAAGAGAGAGACTCTCTGCCTTCTATTTTGTCCCCTAAGCCCCGAGTCAGCAGTTAGGCAGAGTTGCAAGCACTCCTGCTTTGGGAGCTGTCCTGGTCCTCTTTTTGTCCCTCTTCCACCGGGACTGGCTCTCCCCCACCCCCGCCCCAAATCTGCGGACACCTACATTCTTGGCTCTTGGCTCCCTCCTACAGGCCTCCTCGCCCTTTCCTGCCCTTCTCAAACACACCCTAAGAAAAGTTTAGCTTTTGTAGTCCTCCTAAGTTGTGCCAAGAGTCATAAATCTTGCAGAACTAAGAGAAACAAACAGGTTTGTTCTGAAGCATAATAGTAACTACCCTCCTTCTCTTCTGCCAGCGCATTTAAGATGAAGCCATTTTGGTAGTTCTTCTCACCTTCTTAGAAGTACAAATGTCCTTGTCACCTCTTAGCCCCTTCTGCCTAACCGGAGGTGAGAATCTTAACAGAAACTTCTCCGTGAAGTTCTTACGGCCTCTCTATTGCCAGCCGTGTCTGGAGCTGGAGCTAAACAGACTGCTCCTTTTGTCACCCTCTCCTCAACCCCCCTCCTCCTGCAAGACGGTCTGGATTTTTAAAATAATCACTCACCGCTTGTTGTCTGTTCTCAAAAGGGGGGGGGGTGTTTAAAAAAAAAGGTCTGGCTGTCTCCCCTACTGGTTGGAAACTGAGCCTGGAGATTTGCCGGGAGAGAGAAGAAACAGGGAGGGTGTGAGGGAAGAGAAGAAACAGCCTGGGAGACTTGGAGAGGGGGAGCCAGGGCGAGGGGGCGGGAGACCCAGCCACCAGTCCCGGAGGAGTGAAACTACTTAAAAAAAAAAAAAAAAAAAAGCCCTAGCGTTGCCACTTCGAATGAACACAGAGAGGCACCCAGCACCCCCACCCCAGGCGCCTTGGGTGCCTTTGACTAGGCCTCCCCACCTACTTCGCAGTTAGCATAATGGTTTACCAGCACGGTGCCGGGGAGCTGTGAACTCCACTGGCTTTGCCTTGCCTTCCTCTTCCTCTCCACCCCCCCCCGCCAAAATCTCAATTTAAAAATTTACCTGTTTAAAAAAAAAAAAAACCCAAAACAAAAATCCCTACTTTCTTTCCTTTCTCACTTTTTTTTGGGGGGGGTTTTAAAAAATGTCCCCCTCCCCCATCACGACCAACACCTTCCCTCCTTATCAGGCATCTAAGCTTGCTAAAGGGGGAGCGGTGGGGGTGTGTGTGAGCTTGTGTGTGTGTGTGTGTGAGAGTGAGTGTGTGTGTGTGTGTGTGTGTGTGTGGTTTTTTTCCCTGTGCAAAAGCAGAGGCCATTGTTACGGAGAGTAGGGCGTACCAGTCTTGTAGGGCAACCACACTGTGGCGGCTTGGCCGAGCCGGAGCCCGGAGCTGGATTCGCAGCGAGCTGAGCCGCCCGAGCACCTTTCGGTCTTCTTCTATTTTTTTCCCCGCTCCCCCACCCCCTCCCTCCTGCGCACCCCCGCTCCCAAGCCGAGTGAATTGAAGCGGACGCCGCGCGGCTCCTTCGGCCGCTCTGCCCCTCGGGCTCCCCAGCCGGGGTGGCTATTGGGTGGGGGGGCGACGCAGCTTTAAACAGTGGTCTTTTTTTCCTTTGCCTTCAAGGAGGGGAGATTTCTCGCCTGCCGCTCGCGCTGGGGCTCGATGTGAATATATATTATGTCTGCCTGTTCTCCCCTCGTCGGTGGCTAAGGTAAGCTGGACTGAAATAGGCTATCAGTTTGTGAATGGCGGAGAGTATGTCTCAATGATTTATGGCCCATATGACTCCAATCTCGGTTCAAGAAGAGTTCACAAGCTTTAAGCTTCCTTCCACGCAGCGACTCTCCTCTCTCTCTCTCTCTCTCTCCCCCCCTCCCCCCCCCCTCTCTCTCTCTCTCCCTCTCTCCCTCTCTCCCTCTCTCCCTCTCCCCCTCTCCCTTCTTGCTTCTCTCCTTTTCTCCTCTCTTTTCTTTCAGCAGCCAGATCCAGGGCTGAATTCTCCCCCGGCTGCTAAGAAGAACCTAACCTTTCTCCCTTTTCCTTTCTTGTTCTTTTATTTTTCTTCCTTCCACTATTTTTTTTTTTTTTAAGTCCTGGAAGGTGGCCTATCTCCTGTCTCTGGTCTTCCCCAGCTATTGTTACTCTCTCCGGCTCTTTTCAGGGGTGTGCCTGGACAGGTGGGGTTCTTGGGGTGGCTCACCGCCCTTCTCCAACGAGACCCTGGGGGGAAGCCTGGAGCCACCGTTTCCCTCCCTCCCTCTCTCCCGAGAAGCCATATGGAGCCTGGATTTTTCCAACATGGAGGCAAGGGAAATAGACATGTTTGGCTTGGTAGAGCTGCACCCACCCCCTCTTCTCCTGGATCCCTAGATCTCGGATCCCCTCAACACCTTAACCTCTTCTCACTGTCCCTCCGGCCGATCGGGGGCCTGCCAAAGTCCCGGAGCGGAGTTGCTAAGGCACCTTTGCATTCGGTTACCTCCATCGCCCAAACTTGCTGCCCTCAGCCTGGTGTGCTTGGAACCTGCCGCCGCGAGCCATTTAGGCGTTCTGGACGCTTTCTCTTCGCCTCCTTGGGCCAGCCTAGCTAGTCGCCAGCCTCCACGGCGGCAGCGGCCGAGATGGCCTGGAGGCGGCAGCCAGGGGCTAGCTCCGTCCACAAACCTCCCAGCCCTCTCTTGCCGCCGGCGTCTCCATTCTTTCCTGTTCCGTCTCTGGCTTCTCCGCTTCCCACACTCGCCTGTCCTCTGTCCTGCGATGGTTTGCAGGTTTATTGCAGGGGGAACGACAGGAATTTCGGCCTCAGGCGTCTAGTCAGATTATTGCTTTATCATCATCATCATCATCATCATCATCATCATCATCATCATCATGGTTGTAACAATCATTTAGACTAAATAAAGCCAGGGCTCAGCCAGCCAACCTCTTCCAACGTTTTTATTTCATTCTCTTCTCTATCTATTAATAACAAACTCAACTGATGCCTGTTAATTAATTCCCCCTTCATCCAGGGCTGCTCCGGAGCTAATTTTGGTTAAATCATCAGAGGCTAATGGTAATAATAATAAAGGGATTGGGTCAGCCTGGTCAGTTGAACACCAGTTCTCCTCCCTGGAAGGACCTGCTGCTCTACAGACCCATGTGTATTTCCCAGAAACAAATTCTTCCCAGAAACCAATCGGAACTCAGGGCTACCCTGGCTCCTTTTTGAGTGTAAATCTCTGCCATTAAGAAGGGGATTTATGTGTGGGAGGGACTTCTTCACCTGCCCTCCTTTTATTTTATTTTCCTATTTTTAGTTTGCTTTGGAGTTGACCAGCTGGGCTGAATGAGATTTAAGTAGTCCAAACTCACATGTCAGAAGACAGGGTCACTCTGGAGGTTTTATGAAATGCGATGGTGAGAGATGCGGGGAGACAGGGAGGAAAAAAATGCAGTCAGAAGTTTTAGAAGAAATACACAAAATCCTATGACAGCTCGAAGCTTTATTTTTTCTGCACAGTTTTAAAAGTCTGCGTTAAAATAATGATTTTTTTTTTTTACTTGGAAAACTTCAGTAAACAAGATACCCTGTTTCCAACCCAGAGAATAATATTGTTCTGATTGCTCTGTTGACTTTCTTTTTTTGCCTTGGGAAAAGGTGTTCTCATTCGGTAGGCACTTTAGCATCTCTTGGTAGAAAAGTCCAGCAGTTATCCAGTTTCTCTCTTCTTTTCTTCTTTTGGAGAAATCAAAGGAAACAGACTGTCAAGGAAAGGGGTGGAGAAAAAATTAGGTCTGATGAAAAAAAATGGAGCTGGGAGAGACTTGGGCCAAATGGTCACTGCACCAATCAGTCGGGCCAGGGAAATGGAAACAATCCTGCTCCATTTGGGGGCCCCATGGGGGCTGCTAGCTGCTGGGTCTCAGACTTAGCTGAGCAGAGACTCAGACTGAAGGTGGTGGTACCTGCCTGCTGCAGGGCCATGGAGGAGGCTTGGTTCTGCTGGCTCTGGATGTTAAAAATCTTCAGGAAGTTTCTAGGTCAGGCTGTTGTTGTCTTCGTGAAGTGGGAGGGGAAAGAGAGGGCTCCTCACAGGAGAAGGTTCCCTGCTCAACTTGCTTCTTCTTCCTGTCTCTTTCAGAGATCCTGTTTTTTTTCCCTTCAGGCTAGACTCTGCTTGGGTGAGAGACCTAGAGGGACATGGAGGGAGGCAAAGACAGGAGGCCTCTCAGCTCAGAGGAGGGTGTTGGTGATGCTTTTATTTTGGAGTCTCCTAGTCCCCCCCCCCCACAGCCACCCTATCCCAGAGTTGGTGTGTGTGTGTGGGGGGGGGAGATTGGGAGAGGGAGGTGGAAGAGGTCAGGGGCTAGCATGCAGGCGGGAGAGAGAAACTATGGCCTTTGCGGTAGTCTGATTCTATACCTAGGCAGTCCCCAAAGGAGTAGAAGTGGAAATAAAAACTGGTGGGCTTTTTCCTTAAAATTAAAATAAGAAATAAGAAAAATCCATTTCAGGTTAGGAAAGCGGCCTCAGCATCTGCTTTGAAGATGTTGGGGTGGGGGAGAAGAAAAAAAAAACCCTATTGATGTCAGTTCCCTTTTCAGCTCCTAAGATGGATTCGAGCCCCAGTCCTCTTCTCCCCCTTGTGTCTCTTCTCTCACCCCGCAGGTCAGCCGCTCCCAACGGACTCGGGAGGAGGGGGGCAGAAAGGGGAGGGGGGGTCCGGCGCCTCACGTGACCCCCGCGGGTGCCAATGTCCGGTCGTGAGGGTATCAGGCTCTTGCAAGTTGCCACCCACTGCCCGGGCCTCGCCCAGCGATGCAGAAAGCCACCTACTACGACAATGCCGCGGCAGCACTCTTCGGAGGCTATTCCTCGTACCCTGGCAGCAATGGCTTCGGCTACGACGGCCCCCCCCAACCCCCCTTTCAGGCCGCCACGCACCTGGAGGGCGACTACCAGCGCTCGGCGTGCTCGCTGCAGTCCCTGGGCAACGCCGCCCCGCATGCCAAGAGCAAGGAGCTCAACGGCAGCTGCATGAGGCCCGGCCTGGCCCCCGAGCCCCTGCCCGCCCCGCCCGGCTCACCCCCGCCCAGCGCCGCACCTACCAGTACCACCAGCAACAGCAGTAATGGGGGCGGGCCCAGCAAAAGCGGCACCCCCAAGTGCGTTCCCGGCTCCAACTCCACCCTCACCAAACAGATATTCCCCTGGATGAAAGAGTCAAGGCAAACGTCCAAGCTGAAAAACAGCTCCCCCGGCACAGGTACCGGCTCTCTGCCTTCCTCGTCGTCAGCTTTTGTCAGGGCCAGGAATGTCACTGTTATTCTAGCACCCAGCCCCTAGGCGCCCGGGCGGCGGCGCTTTGCCGGTACCCCCCACCACCTGACGACCCCTGGCCCCACCAACACCCTCTCCCGCCAGCCACCCTCCACCTGAGCTGCCGAGCGCTCCAGAAGGCCAGGTGTTTGCTCGGCCTCAGCCCTTGGCAAGGCCGCAGAGCCACGGGACGCCGCCAGCAGACGCAGAGTCGTCAACGATTGATTATTATTAAGTATGATTACTGTGGGTATTAATCACAATCGCTCGGGCGGCCCGGGGTCCCGGCCTCCAGGCAAAGCAGCCTCTTCGAGCCACACTTCCGCGCCCTGCCCCCGAATGTCCAGATTCCCCCAGGGGTTCTCCTTGTCTGCCCACCTGGTCCACAGGACCCGGCGGGACGTGTGTGGGGGAGGGAGTGGGGGGAGGGTGGGGTCTTCCCAGAACCTGGAATTGGGAAATGGGGGGAGAAAGCTTGCGCGAGAAAATCCAGTTCTAAATAAATGGCCATGCGGCTCTGTCTGCGTGACATGATCAAATTTTCATAAGCTGGGGCAGCAAGAGGAGAACAGGTCTCTTAATAAATGCCACTATTATAGAGTGTCCGCTAATGCGACGGGCGTTGGGGGGGGGTTAGGAGGAGGCGGGGACGAGAAAGGGAGGGCGGCGGGGGCTCCGAGTCCAGGCCTGGATTTATTAAGAAACCATGCATTCAATTTCGGCGTGTTCAGTAATTATCTTTTATTTCATTTTGTCCCCTTCCCACCCCTCCCCCTCGGATCCAGCGGAAGGCTGCGGCGGCGGCGGCGGCGGCGGCGGCGGCGGCGGCGGCGGGGGGGACAAGAGCCCCCCGGGGTCGGCGGCGTCCAAGCGCGCGCGGACGGCGTACACGAGCGCGCAGCTGGTGGAGCTGGAGAAGGAGTTCCACTTCAACCGCTACCTGTGCCGGCCGCGCCGCGTGGAGATGGCCAACCTGCTGAACCTCAGCGAGCGGCAGATCAAGATCTGGTTCCAGAACCGGCGCATGAAGTACAAGAAGGACCAGAAGGCCAAGGGCCTGGCCTCGTCGTCCGGGGGCCCCTCCCCCGCCGGCAGCCCCCCGCAGCCCATGCAGTCCACGGCCGGCTTCATGAACGCCTTACACTCCATGACCCCCAGCTACGAGAGCCCGTCCCCGCCCGCCTTCGGCAAAGCCCACCAGAATGCCTACGCGCTGCCCTCCAGCTACCAGCCCCCTCTCAAAGGCTGCGGCGCCCCGCAGAAGTACCCCGCGACCCCGGCGCCCGATTACGAGCCTCACGTCCTTCAAGCCAACGGGGGCGCCTACGGGACGCCCACCATGCAGGGCAGCCCCGTGTACGTGGGCGGGGGCGGCTACGCGGATCCGCTGCCGCCCCCTGCCGGCCCCTCCCTCTACGGCCTCAACCACCTTTCTCACCACCCCTCGGGGAACCTGGACTACAACGGGGCGCCCCCTATGGCCCCCAACCAGCACCACGGACCCTGCGATCCCCACCCTACCTACACAGACCTCTCCTCTCACCATGCGCCTCCTCCTCAGGGTAGAATCCAAGAAGCGCCCAAATTAACACACCTGTGACGGGAGAGGGAGGGCGGAGGGGCAGGCCATGGGGTGGGTGAGAGCCAGAAGGGGCGCCCGGCCGCGGAGCCCTGGGAGGGCTGCCTGGAGGTCTGATAGAGCTAGGCCAGGAGGTGATAGGCACACTTCCTGGGAAGTCCAGGCCTGGAGCTCCTTTCCCTCCCCCAGGCCTGAGAAGTTGCTTTTTAAGGTCCTCCTGTCCTTGTTCCATCTGCCTGCCGACCAGTTGGAGAGGAATCCACAGCCGACTGTGGAGATGACATCCTCAGCCCTAGGTCTCCAACAATACCCAGTTGGCATTCCACGCTCCCCGAGTGGGGTGGAGGAAGAGGAGATAGGGAAACAAGGCAGAGAAGCACATTTAAAAAACCAGACAAGATGGCTAGGCCATCACCAACCAACCAACTTACCTTCTATCTCTGTGGGTAATTCCTCCAAATCTTGATTTTTTTCCCCTTGCAATTCTCCTTTAAAAAACAAAACAAAACAAAACAAAAAAAAGCGCATTTCAAAACCAAGGGCACAACGCACGCTCCCCTCCCACTTCCATGAAGCCTCAAGTTTCTTCCCATCTATTTGAGGTTTCTTGGGCATTCCCTTCATTTCTAGCCCCATATTTTCTGCTTTAGGACATTAATATCTCTACCCCGCCCCCATCTATTACAGTTTTCAGAGGGCTCAGGGATGGTGAGAGATCCTGAAAGTCAGAGCTGTCTATATTATAAATATATATTTTTTCTTTTATGGAAAACTGGGTGGTCAGAGCAGGCAAGGTGTCAGGACTGAAGGTTTGCCCATTCTGCTGCCTCCCATCTCAGCTCCAGGACCATCCCCCTCTCTCCACAGAAAGCAATCGGCGACACGAGGTTCTACACTTTTCTTTTCTTCTGTTGCTCTCTTGACTTAACGTGAAAACAGGGTATATTTTAACAAACTGTCTGTCCCAGGCAGGGGCTGCAGCTGGGCCTGTGCGCCTTGCTCAACCCCCTGACAGGACACTTTTGTTGCACTTAGAGTTTACATTTTAATGGATATAAAAACAACTGTGAGAGATGCCTGGGCCTGCAGGAATCCAGCGTCGCTCAAAAAGTGTGTGTTCTAGTGAACATTTTCATATATATTTATTGGTTATAGCCTGTTAAAATATTTTCTTTTTTGTATTATTTATCCCCCTACATTATGTATTTATATGAGGGAAAAAAATGAAAAACTGTACTTTTTTAGTATTTACTTGTTATAAAGGACATTGTGTTTCCTGTCATGTAAAACCAGCTATTTTAGTTATTATTGTACTCTAGAAAAGAGCTGTAGATTTATGTTAAACTCGTACTTATGAGCAATTGTAATTAGTTCTAAAAGGCATGAACTCAGCTCCTATTGTCACTGTATAGTCCTGAATTTGTAGAATTAGAGTTAATTCCCTCTTGGAACTTTCTTTGTTCTTCCGTAGTTACTTTTTTCCTTACTTGAAAGGGTTGTCTGTCAAACGATTCTTGAATAAACTTTCTGTTATCCATTTTATCTTGTCGTGGCGGTCCAGTTCAGATAGCAGAGCAAGGCCGCTGCCTGCCAAATTTCCCCCAAGGAAAGAAGGATATTGAAGGCTCAGGCCCCTAACCAACCCCCCTCCCCCACCATGCCGTGCCTCAGGCCTGGAACGTTCTGCCAACTTCTTTAGTTAAGATTTAAGTAACAAGTTGCGGGGCTGGGGGAGGAGGACCCTTGGGTGCTCTCTTTAGGCCTTTCTATTTGGCTTACTTGCCTCTCACTTTTTCCCATTGGCCTTTTGTCTTCTTGCTCCTTTGGCCACAGCTTCCTGGCCACCCCTTACCCAACAACAACAACAACAACAACAACAACAACAACAACAACGAAATCTGGCCATTTACTGCTTCTTCCAAGCAACCTAAACTTCACAGTTCTCTTCCGGAGCTACAAAGAAGTCGTCACGTGACCCGAAGCCCAACCACCATTGGGTCTAAAATGAAAACAAAGGAAAATGATTAAAAAAAAAAAATCTGAGGCCTAGACTTCTCAGGTCAAACCTTAAAACTAAAGTGAAATTAAATCACTAAATAAAACTCGGGGCGGAGGGAGAGGAGGCGCCTTTGATTTCCCCTGCCAAGGAAAGGGGAGAGGAGGGGTTGGGAGAAGCTGTTGGATCCCAGCGTAAATAAAATGGTCCCCAGGCTAATGTGCAGCTCCGTTTCCACGATCCCTGGGAAAACTTCATTTCTTAGTCGTGGTTCCATAAAAGTTTTATCACATTGGAGCGAGGATAGAGAGGGTCTGTCAAAGATGAAATGTCACCGCCGCGTCGCTGGAGCCGATAAGAGCGAAGAGACAGGGCGGCTGAAATATGGAGCTAATTCGTTGAAAGAGGAGCGATGGCTGCGCCGAAGAGTTGCATAATTCTAATTGTAAGCGATGCGCCCGCATTGCTTAATTAGGAGCATATATTTGGTGGGAGTGATGGGGGGGCAGTGTCAGTGAGAATCGTTCCAGGCCCTCAGCCTTAAAGCGAGGGCTGATTTTCATTTTTATGTTGCATCCTGGCAGTCCAAGGTTAGTAATTACAGTCTTTATGCAACAATAAATAACAATAAAAAAGCAACCTGAATTCTACACCCCCCCCCCCAAGTAGGATTTTAACTGGACTCGGCTCATCCAAGCAGCAAGCAATTTAGCATCGGGTCAGGCTATAATTTAAAGGCATAAGAGCGTGCAAAGTTTGATTGGGATCAAATAACGCTCAAGGGTTTTTCTTTCTTTCTGTCTTTCCCTCTTCCTCTTCCCTAAATAACATTTTCTGAATGATGTAACTAGATGAAGCGCCATGTTTGGCTCTGGGGGTGGGGTGGATTGATTATCTAGCAGGAGAGAGGCAGGCCAAGAGAAGGAATTTAGCTTGAGTTTGAAAAGCAGAGCTTTGGCCTGAAGCTGGAATTGCAAACGAAATATAAGGGCCCAATTGGCTTGGTGTCCTCTACCCTTCTTTCTGCGAGATTCCAGGCGCTGGCTAAGCAGCCAAAGTCGTGGGGGAAATATCTGTGCTGTGAGATTCACAGCACAACAGGAGGCGGCACCCGGTGTCTCTGGGAAGGAGGGCTCTCTTGGCTGCTTTTAACACCCAACTTTTCTGCTCTTCTCTAATCTGGCCGTAAAATCTGTCAGCAGGGTTAAAGAGAGCCGTATTTCCTGCAGGGACAGCCTCGGCCCGGAGTTGGTGCCGAGAGAAGCGCTCGACCCTGCAGCCAGCTGGAAAGGTCGTGGAAAAAACTTCCCTGGCTTCTCAAGGGGGTGGCCGGAGGGAGAACCCTCTTTCAGGCCTCACTGCACAACTTCCAGACAACTTGTACTCCGGATCCTTCTGTGCCCCTCCCCCCCCCCACCCACACCTCCAAAGGGCAAAAACTGGCTTCTTTGGAGTGGGGTGGGACACAACGGTCTCTGGCCAGTTTGCGCAGTTCAGAGCCGCTCTCTCTGTTCTGAGCCCTCCGTAGCCGGCCACCCCCTGTCCCTGCAGCCCCCACCTACAAATCCCCTTTCTCCCTACTGGCTCTCCTCTGTCCTTCTCTGTCCTTTTTAAATACTCACCGCCACCCACGCGGATGAATACTCACCGCCACCCACGCGGCTGTTACATTGACAGAAAGTTTCTAGTTCCAGCTGCCGGCTGAGTTGCCATTTCTCTGCTAACCAGCCTTCTCCTCCTTGCCGGGCCCGCGGAGAGGAGGAGGGGGAGGGGAGGCCAGAGCCGTGGGAGTTCTCCAGACAAACTTTCCACCCAACTCAGCGTCCTTCCCTCTGTCCCCATTTCCCATCTGTTTCCCCGCTCTCTCAGAATCACCTTTCTCTTTTGCTATCACCCCCACCCCCCAGGCCTTTTAAAGGGATGTGGAATTTCGGCTGTTCCCTCTGCTTTCCCAAAGAGCCAAATTCTTTGATGCCATCGGAGGGAGCTGTCAGGGGGCTAAGATTGATCGCCTCATCTCCTCTCGGTCCCTCTGACCCACTTATTTAAAAATCTTCCCCCAGATCGACTTTTCATTTTCTGCTTTGAGATCTAGTTTCCCACCAATTGCTTGGGGCCTCGAGTTTTGTGTCCCCTCTCTTCAGTAAATTACAGCACTCCCTAAACTTCAGAGTCTCTTGATCCCTTCAAAATAAATAATTAATTAATTAATTAATTAATCTCCCCCGGGGGCCAGAAATGGAATATCGTCTCCTTATTCATTGCTTTTACCCCCTCCATGCTCAGAGAATTCTTTCTTGCCAGGGATTATTATTTTTTTTTTTTAAACTAGCACACTGGCAAAAATGGGAAGGGGAATACTCTTTGTCCTGGGAGGGAAATCCTCCCCCCCCACATTGACCTGAGTTTGAGAGTGCTCTCAGTTAGATCGCACTACCTCCGTTCTTGTTCCTGTCCCTGGAGACAGATGCAGATACAGACTTGAGGCTCCAATGGGAGCACGTGCGCCTTAGACCCTGTCCATTGTGGGGTATCAAAGAGGAGTGAGATGAAGACCCCAGGTGAGGAAGGCAGGTGGACATAGGGGCAGGGGCACTGCCGCAAACACCAGGCAGAGACCACACAGCAATGGCTGCCAGAGGCCCCAAAGGGCCCCTCACCATCTATCTCACTCCTCTGTGTCAGCCTGGGAGTGCCTGTCGATTTTCCAAGATTTATCTGTTGCTTTTGGGGGGTGGGATGGGAATGGTGGTGCTGGTGATTGTAAATCTCTTCTCTTCCTTATTGCACCTTAACACTGACCTTTCCCAAAGGATGGAAGCCTCTTTCTACTACCTCTTCCTCCCACATATAGATAGATCCTGACTCAGCATTCTTTCTTTTCTTCTTTTTTCTTTTTTTAATGGGGGAAGGGTGGGGAAGAAAATGCTGTTGGCATTGTAAAGAACGTATTAATGTATTCTATTACAAATATTTGGAAAAGAGGAAGACTTCTCCCTTAGATTCTCTTGTTTCCTGGCTTTCGGAACCTCCCATCCTCTGAAGGGGATGAGAGAAAGTTTCCTCCAGCTTTTCTGGAGAAAGGGAGGCTTTGGGGAGAGGGAGTGTAGGACTTGGGGCTCACAGTGTCCAGGTCGTGGTCCTCTAGAGTTTTTGAATCAATTAAAGCAAATAATGCTTTCTGTTTTCCACCAGGCCCAGACGAGCGATTGGCCGAGGCCAGTCCCGTGACCATGAATTCCCTGCAATTTCGCCGGAGTCCTGGGTTTAATAGAGAGAGTCCCCATACGCCTGTATTTATCAGCAATATACAATTATAAAGGCCCAAAATTAAAAAAAAGAGAGAGAGAGAGAGAGAAAGAGGGAAATCTCCCCCTCCCAAAATCGCTCCATCACATAAACCTGGGGGGGGCAGGAGGGGGGGTCCCTTCCGATCCTCCCTCCTGACGCCCCCCCCAGCAGGCCCCCTCCCCCACCATTGAAAGCCATGAATTTTGAATTTGAGAGGGAGATTGGGTTTATAAACAGCCAGCCATCGCTCGCCGAGTGTCTGACTTCCTTCCCCGCTGTCTTGGAGACATTTCAAACTTCATCAATCAAGGAGTCGACATTAATTCCTCCTCCTCCTCCTTTCGAGCAAACCTTCCCCAGCCTCCAGCCCGGCGCCTCCACCCTTCAGAGACCCGGGAGCCAAAAGCGAGCCGAAGATGGGCCCGCTCTGCCGCCGCTGCCGCCGCCGCTCCCCGCCGCCCCCTTGGTCCCCGAGTTCCCCTGGATGAAAGAGAAGAAATCCGCCAAGAAACCCAGCCAATCCGCCTCGTCTCCCCCGGCCACCTCCTCCTCCGTTTCGGCCTCCGGGGTCGGATCGCCAGCAGGTCGGTTAGCGGGGTAGGGGTGGGGTGAGGGGCAGCTAGAAGAGAGAGGGAGAAAGAGCGATGGGGGAGGTAGAAAGGGTGTCGAGTCTGTTGGGGATCTTTGCCCCGTCGATTCCAGGGGTGAGGGAGCGGAATACGCTGCTGGGATTCAGGCCTGGCCGCTGCCAGCATTTTTTTTTTTTTTTCCCACTATAGCAGATTTTTGGAACCTGGTTGGGGAAGAGCGTTTTCTCTGCTAGAAGAAAAGGATTTGATTTAGGTTTTCACTTCTGTCTGTGTGGAGGAATTAAAGTGGTGTTGCTGGGTTGTTGAATCTGAGGGCAAGAAAAGATTCGGCCCCATCTCCCCCCTCCCCCAGCTCTAAAAGAGGGGGATTTGAAAGCAAGGGAGGAAAGGAGGTGAGGAATAGTCTTTTCTTAATGAACCCTCTCTCTGGGTTGAGCTCGAAAGTGCCAAATTGAGGGGTCTACTCCAAGGACTCAGGAGGGAGGCTCTGAGGTTCTGGGGGCAAAAGGGAGCCGCTCCCTACCCCCTGCGTGGCCCGTAGGTGGCTCTCTGAATGCTCTGCCCTGACCCGGGCCGGGGCTGCCGGCAAGAGGGGGACAGGAAAGAACGGAAAAGCGGTGGGAGCGAACGGCTTCGGTAGGCGGGAAGGAGGCGGGGGGGGGGGGTACTGCTGATACTGTTTTTGGCGGATGGGGTGGTC